TTGGGTTTTGATTTGGGTTTCTCAAAGTCTTGATCTTTTTCGTATATCCTCTCACTTTCTCTGAGTTTTTAGCTTTGATTCTGTTTTCATTACCCAAAGATTCAGTTTTTGTTGTTGTTGTATTTCCCCAAATCTCAAATCTTTTTAAGTTTTTGGGTTAAATCTTGAACCTTTATGTAGAATTTCAATGATCTCAAGTTATGGATTCTAACAAGATTCTTTGGTAATTACAAGTCATAAGCTTTTTTGATTTTGAACTTAGACTTGTAAGCAGAAACCATAATAAGTACTTTTGATTGGATTTGTGGTTCTAATAGTGTCTCTGATTTCAAAATTTTGCCTACAGCTTCAGCATTGAACATGTTGTTCAGTAGTATGCATTCTCCAGCACAGTTAACACAATGGACTGCATCAGCTGGTGATCCTTGTGGTCAGAATTGGAGAGGTGTAACTTGCTCTGGCTCAAAAGTTACTCAAATGTTAGTGATTTTTCGTTGTATCGAAGTTCTTGTTTTGCTTGCGTTGAATCGAATGATTTTACATTTAAATATATCTACTTTGCAGAAAGTTACCAGGTCTTGAGCTCTCTGGAACACTTGGATTCATGCTTGATAGATTGACTTCTCTTACCGAGCTGTAAGATCACTCACTCTTTCGAATGTTAATTTCTTTTCGTGTTATAGTGAGAATGAGTCTTTTATAATTTATAATCTTTGATGGAATCTTGTAGTGATCTAAGCAGCAATAACCTTGGAGGTGATTTACCATATCAGCTTCCTCCAGATCTGCAACGATTGTACGATCCACAATCCTCTTATTTTTTTTTTCTTTCCCTAACATAATATCTGTGTTTTCGAGTTTACAATCCTCGGCGTTTCAGGAATCTTGCAAATAATCAATTCACGGGAGCTGCTCAATACTCAATTTCTCAGATGGCATCACTTAAGTATCTGTAAGTGATTTGCTTCATTTCTGATTTCTTTAGACTTATCTCATAAATATGTGAATTGTAATGTTTTCTCTTTTGATAAAATCAGCAATCTTGGTCACAATCAGTTTACGGGGAATATAGCTGTCGACTTCACTAAGCTCACCTCTCTCACAACCTTGTAAGATCATAATAAAGATTCAGATTGTTCTCAAGTTTGATCTTAGTAAAATATTTGACAAAATTACATGCGTATATCAGGGACTTCTCTTTCAATTCTTTCACGGGATCTCTACCGGGAAGTTTTACCTCCCTAACAAGTATAAAATCATTGTAAGCATCTGTTCCTAGCTTTCATAGATTTTCTAAACTAACTGAAAGTGTAGCAGTTATTAAGCATGTGGCTTTAAACTTGACAGATACCTTCAGAACAATCAGTTCTCAGGCACACTCAATGTCTTAGCCGGTCTTCCTCTTGAGACTCTGTGAGTAAAACAACCTTATTACATGTGGAACTGGTTTTTCTTAGACATCCACTAATATTGGTTCTTGTTACGAATGTACCTCAGGAATATCGCAAACAACGATTTCACGGGCTGGATCCCCAGTTCTTTGAAGGGCATTAATCTGATGTAAGTTTCTCATTTCACACACATTTGCTTCTTCTTTTTTTCTTTGAACCTTTGATCTCACTTTTCTTGTTTCTTGCAAACAGAAAAGACGGTAACTCATTCAGTACTGGACCTGCACCTCCACCACCACCTGGTACACCTCCAGTCCGTGGCTCCCCGCCGAGCCATAAATCCGGAGGAGGTGGAAACCGGTCTAGTGGTGATTCCACTAGCAATGGAGGTTCCAAGAAATCAGGAATTGGAGTTGGTGCTATAGCAGGCATAATCATTTCATTGTTAGTCGTTACAGCTCTTGTGGCTTTCTTCTTGGTCAAAAGAAGAAGATCAAAGAGAACATCATCATCCATGGACATCGAGAAAACCGATAACCAGCCTTTCACTCACGCTTCCAATGACTTACACGGTATAGCTAACACACACATATAGTATACATTTTTGTCTTTTAAAAAAAAGGAAAAGCTTAGTGTAAGAATCCATATGGTTGCAGAAAACAATTCTATTCAGAGTTCTTCATCAGTTGAGGCAAAGAAACTGAATAGGTCGTTGTCTATCAATCTTCGGCCTCCACCAGCTGATCGACACAAATCATTTGATGACGAAGACTCGACAAGAAAGCCTATTGTTGTCAAGAAATCCGCCGTAGTGGTTCCTTCGCATGTAAGAGTTTATTCAGTTGCAGATCTCCAAATAGCCACTGGCAGTTTCAGCGTAGATAATCTTCTCGGAGAAGGGACTTTTGGGCGAGTATACCGAGCTCAGTTTGATGATGGAAAGGTAATTATTATTAGTAGTTAATCCTTATCTCGTTTTCTTGAAACAGATCATAATATTCTTCTTATTCATATCTTTAGGTTCTTGCTGTGAAGAAAATTGATTCGTCTGCTCTTCCACATGGCATGACCGATGAATTCACAGAAATAGTATCGAAAATCGCGAATTTAGATCATCCAAATGTGACAAAGCTTGTTGGTTACTGCTCTGAACATGGACAACACCTCGTGGTCTATGAATTCCACAGAAACGGATCGTTGCATGACGTCTTACACTTATCAGAAGAGGAAAGTAAAGCATTGGTGTGGAATTCACGCGTCAAGATCGCTCTTGGGACCGCACGCGCATTAGAGTAAACTCCAAAAACAAATTGATTTGCTTAAGCTCATTATTTTGAGGTTTGTGTGGAGTCATTATAAAGTACTGTTCTTGCAGGTACCTCCATGAAGTTTGTTCACCATCTATAGTTGACAAGAATATCAAATCAGCCAATATTTTACTCGACTCAGAGCTGAATCCTCACTTATCAGATTCAGGTCTCGCAAGCTTCCTTCCAACAGCAAATGAGGTTAGATATACAAACTCTTCTCCAAAATCTTTACTATTTCTCAACTTGTTTAGTTGCTTATATCGTTCTGATATTGTGCAGTTACTAAACCAAACCGATGAAGGGTATAGCGCACCTGAAGTATCAATGTCAGGCCAATATTCTTTGAAGAGCGACGTTTACAGTTTTGGAGTAGTCATGCTTGAACTTTTAACCGGGAGAAAACCATTCGACAGGTAAAAAATCCTACTAATTATGATTAAAGCTAGATGAGGAATGTGTTTTCGGAATTTTAATCGTTTTGGCCAACGGTTATAACTTAAGCAGCACAAGATCAAGATCTGAGCAGTCATTAGTTCGATGGGCGACACCACAACTTCACGACATTGATGCTTTAGGAAAAATGGTTGATCCAGCTCTTAAAGGACTTTACCCAGTTAAATCTCTTTCTCGATTTGCAGATGTTATCGCTCTCTGCGTACAGGTAAAATAATAACCATGAAATGAAAAATCTTACAAGTACAACTTGCAGAATTCAAGAAAGTCTCTTACAGATTTTGCATTTGGTTTTTGCAACAGCCGGAGCCAGAGTTTAGACCACCAATGTCTGAAGTGGTGCAGGCACTGGTTGTGTTAGTGCAAAGAGCTAACATGAGCAAGAGAACCGTCGGAGTTGATCCATCGCAACGCGCTGGTAATGCCGACACAACCAATGATTACATGTAAGTAAATTCGTCACCAGAGAGGAAAAGAAGAACACTTTGGTCCATTGGATGAAGAAGTCACTCAGAACAGAGGTTTTCAGAAAAATTGGAAGATAAACAATCAACCTTCACGCAGTGTATAATTCCATTGTTTAATTTTGTAAAATGTTTTTAAAATTCGTAGATTTTTTAAGATGATTGACATAGAACAAAATTCTTTCTTTTGTGTTCTATTTGGATTTGGTTCAATGTCTTGTTCAGAGGAATTGACTCCAAATATACAAACTTGAAAGGATAATTCAACTCATGGAATCAAAAGTATCATATGAAGAAAAAACTTCTCTAGGAGTTATTGGAATAAATGGAAGAGAAGAGTTTTCCAGCTTTCTCCTTGCTCCGATTGCATACATTCCGGCTTCTACGCATACACATATGATAATATCAAGCTCCTGCAGAAAAACAGATTAACAAAGCCAAAGTCAGAACAAATCTCAAGCGACCAAAAAAGAAAAAGCATGAGGCTAGCAAGGAGTTCAAAACGGATGTCTCTTATCGCAGTTCATGGTTCATGGTTGAAGATCTCTGTTCTGCGCTCTAGATCAGGAAGACAAAACTCAACCATACGGTCAATACGTCGAGGACGTATAAGAGCAGGGTCCAGTAAGTCGGGCCTGGAGAAGAGAGTGTAAAACCTCAGTCCGTCAAGCGCTATAATGTGTTTTTGTGTAGTTACTTAAAGTTGTGTGGACTGACCTGTTTGTTGCTATGAGAACCTTGATGTTACCACGTGCGTCGAACCCATCAAGCTAATTGGCAATCTCAAGCATAGTACGTTATCACCGCCTTTACCGTCATCATATCTTACACCACCAATGGCATCAATTTCATCAAAGAACACAATGCAAGCTTTCTTGGACCATGCCATCTGTAAAGCGAGTATTACACAATTTCAGAACAAAATATAGCAGCCTTGGCTAGACAAAACGCAAATAGTAAGTTATTGCAAACACAAATTAAAGACAACGTTTTTTTGTAAGTTATTGTCCATATGAGAAATGTACATGACAAAGAGAACTTCATAAACAGGAAACATACCCAGGGTGAAACTTTATCTCCAAGTCCAACAACAAACTTGTCTTAGCTTCTTGGCATACTATATACCTTCCATCTTCAATTTTTTTGTATGCATATTGCAACATGGAGAGGTTTCTCCTAGATAATTTCTTTATCCAAAATAAGGTTCCATTGGTTGCGATGAGCTAAAGTCATGTCACACTCCTTGATACTGCACTGTTCTTCTATATTCTCAACAAGATATGCGATTTCTTTCTCCATCTTCTTTACGGAGGTGGAATACGTCTTACTGTCTAGAAATGTTGACCAAGCTTTGGGTATACTTTTAGCAAAATACACCCATACTCGACTATCGATATAACAATTAAGAGAAAAAAAAAATTTAAGTAGGATAAAAAGTACAATGAACTTACATCGATATAACAATTAAGATTGCGAATGAAAAGCATTTTGCTAGCATGAATAGTACGTGAATGGGCATGAATAATGAGAGTATACATACCCGGAGTGGAACAAAAGAGTATTAACAATGAGATAAAACATCGACAAAGTGCACAAACAGTTCAAAGTTTTGTGTATCCATTATGATATGTCTAATGACAAAAACGATATGATTAGCCAATCAAAACAAAACAATTAAGCATATTAAATACTGACTAATCTTTTGTCTATTCATTCTTACACTTAAGTAACTTAAGTAACTCTATAGGATCATCAAACGGGTCTTCATAGTATATATGATTTTGATGCCGTCGCGAACCGCTTTGCAGTCCTCATCAACCTCCACTGTGTTTATTACCGTCAATGTATCAAACCCTTCAACAACCTCCCCAAAAACCTATAAGATTGCAAAAAATTAACAAAAAATAAAGAGTAATGTTATTGTAGCAAATAAAAAGTAAGTGTTAAGCTTACCGTGTGTTTCCCATCGAGCATGTTCAATTCATCTGAAAGGGTGATATAGAATTCAGAAGCATTGAGGTTTTCTCCGTGATTAACCATGGCAACCGTGCCAGCTTTTGTATGGTTTAAATCACGATGAATCTCATCATCGAAAAACCGATCACCCACATTGATAAGTCTGAAAGAGAAAAATTATCATAAGATATATATGCACCCAACATTATCATTCGAAAATATTTACTTGTAGATTGAGTTTCCTCCAGTTCTCGTGCCATTTGGATCCCCCGTTTCTGCTGTGAAATCCTTTTCCACTATGTAGAATATGCAATCGTTGTAATAGTCGATTCTAGAGAAATTAAAATGAAAGAAGTTAAAACAACAGTAGTTAGAGTAAATACCATATAAATGATCTTATAGGTAGATATGCAAAACTTACTGCAAAGCTTGAGAAAATTTTTGCACGCCAAATGACATTTTTCTGTAAACAACTTAATGCCTATATTCCCAACATTTGTGACCACAAGAACTGACATGTTCTTTGTCTACATGAAAAAAAAAATTGGAAGTTAGAAGCAAGCAATTCACAAGACTAATTCAATGTTTACACAAATCAGATTCCAAAATCAAGTGTTTACACAACTATTGTTGATGAAGAACTAAACTCGTTAATCACCAATACAATAAGAGTTACCAGAAGACAGATTTTGATTAACCAACATAATTGGGGAGTGATTTGTGAGAAGTTGCGTATGTGTCATCTCCACAATCACTCTCACCAAAACAATGACATGACTTATCAAAATTGTGACATGGCAATTTTGAATCAATAATAAAATCTTCTACAAGTAAATTTATAATTGTTACCATAAATAAATCAAAAGAGTTTTTAATCAATATATTATCAGATTTTCGTTTTTATTCTAAAATTATAGAAAATTTTGGTTTCTCATTTAAAAATAGTTTAGAAATTGATATTGTAATAATAAAATTATAGAACAATTTTATACAATATATATTCTTTTTGAAAATAATAATAAAGACTTACCAAATTTTTAAAAGAGATTTTGATATGTTTGTGAAAAAACTTCCCAAGTTTATAACAACAAATATAATTTCTAACGCAAGACAATTAGAAAGTAATAAAAAAAAATTTAATTCGAAAGCAAGAATT